AAAACATGATTTCAGTTTTTCCTAGACCGTGTGCTTTTGATCTTTGTTTTAGTCGGTTTACACTAAGTGAATTTTCTGTGTACAAATTAGTGCTATTAAGTGCGTGTTTTGAAAATGTAAACAACGACTCCGGTTTGAACATGTGTGCGCGCGTGCGTGCGCGTGCACGTGCGTGCGTGTATGTGTGAATGCGTACTATGATGACCCCAAGAAGCGTGTGCGTGTGTGTGTGTGTGCGTGTTTTCTAGATGGCCAATCAGATTTATGTATGGCATGCCTCTGATGGCTTCTACTTTCATGCCAATATACATTACCTACCATTACCATAACCTTCAAATGAAAGTATATTCTCTTACTGTATGCAGTTACTTCAAGTGCGTTGAGACTGTAAATGCTCAGTCCTTGATCGTATCCGTAGGCTTGTTGCCAAAACAAAAGATTCTGCTATTGGGTTCTAAACATATGCGCAGGTTTTATTGGAAATGCTATTCGATTTATATGAAACATGGCAAAGTTGCTACTATGTAATGGTAGAATTGCACAACAGCTTTTGGCTGGCTACTTGAATAGATGCCCAGGGATAGCGGCTTCTCCGCTCTCCAAGTTGACGATACTCGCCTGCGAATGCACGAGATTCTCAGTTCAGCCATTTCTGATCACATACAAAGTGTGGTAGAATTCGCTAAGGCCATTCCTGGCTTTGTTTCACTCGACCAACCGGATCAATTGACGTTGCTTAAAGCGGCCTTTCCAGAGGTGTGGATTCTTCAGGCCGCACGCACAATCTCTTACCCAGAGCAAACCATCCTACTCTGCAATGGAGCCATAGTCTGCAGAAAGGAACTGGATTTCATCTATTCGGTGGGCTTATGAATATGCAAAGATTTTAAATTGCTTTTTGTTGCTACCGCGTTTTGACTTAATAAGGTGAATTATATTTTATTGCCAAAGTGAAGTTTATGTGGTATGTAGGTCGTCATTTTCTTAATAGTTTTATTTTTTCACTTTCAACGGTTGCCACTCAGATCCCCTACTCCGGTGATGGTGCGTTAAAGAGCTCTTGTTTAGTTGATAATATATTTTTTTTGTTTTTGTAGGCATGTAAGGGTTGAAGTTTAAATTGTAAAAGATAATCGTTAAACTCAAAGTGAAACA